CGAGCGGGGATTCGGCCACGGCACCATCTACAAGACGAAAAAGGTCAGCTTGAAGGACGACTCAAGTAGAAGCCGCAGCTCCAAGACCATCGACAAGATGTTTGGCTTCGCGCCCAACAGCACAATCAAGGCATCGGCAAAAGAGCAGCTCGATGCGGATGGGTTGCCGTTTGTGGGACGCCTGGTGCGAGAAGGTGACGTTCTCTGCGCGTGGCACACCGTTAGTGCCGATTACCACGGACAGCTTATCAACCGAGACGGCATCACGCACTATGAGAAGTACAAGGAGGCCGAAGATGCCTTTGTCGAAGAGGTTCGGGTGATCGGGAGTGACACGGGCGCGGAGCCTCTCCAGACCATCTCCATCAAGCTGCGGATCCCTCGATCCCCAGTCATTGGTGACAAGTTCTCGTCGAGACACGGTCAGAAGGGTGTGTGCTCTCAGAAGTGGCCGGCGGTCGACATGCCCTTCACCGAGTCGGGCATGCAACCCGATGTCATCATCAACCCCCACGCTTTCCCCTCCAGAATGACAATCGGCATGTTTGTCGAGTCTCTGGCCGGCAAGGCAGGCGCGCTTCATGGTGTCGCCCAGGATTGCACGCCCTTCAAGTTCAGCGAGGAGAACACAGCGGCCGATTACTTTGGTCACCAGTTGCTCAAGGCGGGCTACAACTACCATGGCAACGAGCCCATGTACTCGGGCATCACGGGCGAGGAGTTTGCGGTCGACATCTACATCGGTGCCGTCTACTACCAGCGACTCAGGCACATGGTCAACGACAAGTACCAGGCCAGAACCACGGGCCCGGTTGTCCCGACGACGGGCCAGCCCATCAAGGGCAGGAAGAAGGGAGGTGGTATCCGTGTGGGAGAGATGGAGCGCGATGCCCTCCTGGCGCACGGAACGGCCTTCCTCCTCCAGGACCGGCTGCTCAACTGCTCGGACTACTCCAAGTCGTGGATCTGTCGGACGTGCGGGTCCTTCCTGGCCGTGCAGCCGACGGTGTCTCCCTTCATCGGGAAGAAGAAGGCGGTCAGCACCGTCAGGTGTCGGAACTGCGCCAAGCGGCTGGACGAGATTGAGGATTTGGATCTTATGAAGCTGGAGGGCGAGATCTGGGAGGACGGGCAAGGTGCGCAGCTGGTGGGAGGAGAGAACACGACGCAAGTGGTTGTGCCCGGTGTCTTGAAGTTCCTCGATGCCGAGCTCATGGCGATGGGGGTGAAGCTGAAGTACAAGGTGGACACGAAGGACACAATCCACCGGGGGCCGTTGAAGCCAACGGCTGTCCGACCTTCGAAGATCAGTGCCGCCTTTTCGGCGGCATAGAGAGGTGGAATTTGGGTCTTGATGTTTTGGTAGCTCGCATATACGCGATCGATGTTGGGAGTAGTGGGCATGTAGGTAGTTCATGATGATAGGATTATTTGACTGGGTTTCACCATCCGGCTCGCTCGGGCTGCCCGATATGGTCACAACGGTACGTGGTGCTGAAGATGAGGTCTGGCAGGGCATCCACGAGGAGGGACGAAGCAGGCCAGATGGACGTCCACAAATTGGCCCGACAAGCATCACCGCTTGTTCTGTGCAGACGGCCTTCGCTGCCGTACTACCGTCCCACCCTCTGTACTATGCAGCTACCCGTCGGTCGACAGCGCTGCCCTGCTGTCCTTGTCCCTGCCGATGCCCTGCTGTGTCCGTTTGCTCTGCTGGGCTCTGCTGGGTCCTGGGTGGCCTTTCCCCCCTGACAGGTTTCCCAGGTCCGCGGCTGCCCAGGTTGTGCACGATGCCTTGCCTGCACCAGATGGCCACTGCCCAGGGTAGAACTCGCGTCCTCCTCGCCGTGGAAGGGGCCATCCGCAATATCACGACTTGGCGGCTGTCCGTGGAGCCGTGCCTGCCTGTTTGCCTTTTCCCTCCCGTCGGGCAGCAGCTCGGAGCTGGAGACTCGGACGGGGCGACGTCTCCTGCTTTCCGTCTCACTCTCCCTCTTTCGAGGCAGCTTGTCTCTTCTCCCATCGCCATCCCCCTTTTTCGCCGTTGAATGCCACGAGGTTCAGACGCCGCTCGCTCGCTCCTCTGGCTGTTTGTTTACGCCGAACCCTGCCCCTTTCGCTCCCGACAGACCGGCCGTGGGTCATCTTCAACACTCGCACCACGCGTCCACATAGGCCTACCCTACCTATCCTCTCCATCCTGCCTCCTCGCCGGACAAGAACTGGCATCACGCTCGCTGCGTCACACTGCTCGGGTTGCTCGGAAAGACCAGTTGCCGTCCATCGCCCATCGTCCACGTCCTTGTTACCTCGAGTCAGACATCCCTCCACGGGGGTAATCTCCACGGCTCGCCAATGGCGATGGCGGCTCGATTCTGTCTCCTGGTCCTCGCTCTGCTGCCTTGGTGCATCTCGGCCCACCAGGGGGGCTACGACTACGGCTTCGATGTCTCGAGGCAGCTCAACAAGCGCCAGTCGGGGGAGCCCATTGTGGTGAAGGGATGGGGCAGCGACAATGTCCAGGTCAGACAAGAGATCCGGGAACTCGAGCGCGACCGCGAACTGTGGACGCTCTACCTCTTGGGCGTCAGCTTGATGCAGTTCAGCGACCAGTCCTCCCCGATATCGTGGTACAGCTTGACAGGTATGCCTTCCCCGCCCCCAGCCAGCACTACACGGGAACCTGGCAAACTAACACCATCGCAGGGATACACGGAATACCTTACAAGACATGGCAAGGCGTCGGCCCGACTCTGGGCAACGAAAAATCCGGCTATTGCACGCACGCGTCGATTCTCTTTCCGACATGGCACCGTCCCTATCTCGTTCTTTACGAGGTATGAGTCCTTGCCCCCTCGATGCCCTGTATTGAGCCCAGCGGTCCGCAGCTAACGAGCCATAGCAAGTTCTGTATGACCTCATCCAGCAGATCGCTTCGTGGTGGCCTGAAGGCGAGGATGGGGACAGATACAGAGCCGCCGCCCCCAGGTTCCGCATCCCATTCTGGGACTGGGCCTCAGCACCGCCATCCAACGACCGCGCCCTTCCAGCCAGCGTTGGGGGAAGCCCGGATATCGTGGTGGACGGCCCCAACGGCAGTCAGCGAATTGCAAACCCCTTGTTCAGTTACACGTTCAAGCCACTAAACTCGACGGAACTTCCTTCCAGTCCGGTAGGTCCTACCCAGGCTCGGCAATGAACACAACTGATTTGATATCTCAGTTCAATGTTTGGGGGACCACTGTCAGAGCCCCCAGTACAAACGACAACAGAGCCCAATCGAACAACGCTCTGGTGGCTCAAAGCTTTGACGCAAGCGTGCAGTCTCTTTCTGAGCGGCTCTATGTTCTCTTCTCCAACTATCCCGATTACAAGGCCTTCAGCCACAACAATAAGCCGACGGGCAACCGAACAGCTGCCGAGTCTCTCGAGTCACTTCACGATTCGGTCCACACCCTCGCAGGTGGCGGCGGACTTGGGGCCCCCAATATCCAGGGAGGGCATATGGCCTTTATACCGTACTCGGCCTTTGACCCCATCTTCTTCTTGCACCACACCATGGTCGATCGCATTTTCGCCATCTGGCAGACGCTTTACCCCCAGAGCTGGGTCACACCCGTGCGGGCACAGATGTCCTCGTACACAACCTCCAGGGGACAAATCCAGGACTCGACCACGGCGCTTACCCCCTTCCTTGCCAGCAGCAACGGTACATTTTGGACATCCGACATGGTTCGAAACCACACTCGGTTTGGATACACGTATCCCGAGCTCGTGACTGGGCTGAGTAACACAAATATACGGTCCCAGGCCACGAGGTCGATCAACCGCCTGTATGGCCAGTCGAGTCCAGCCAACCGCTTCCAAGCCGAGCGTAGAGCCAGGGGCTTGTCGGGCTCGGGACCCCACGACACTTCATCCGAGGCGCAGCGCCTCAGAGGGTTGGTGTTCAATGGAAACCAGTACCGGGAGTGGATCGCCAATGTCTATGTCGGGAAGCAAGCCCTGGGCGAGCCGTTTGCGGTTCACTTGTTCCTGGGAACTGTCCCTCGCGACCCTCGGACGTGGAGCCTCTCCAGAAACCACATTGGATCGGTGGGTGTGTTTTCGTCGGACGAAGCCATGGACATGGCCCAGCTCCAGACCTCTGGCACGGTGCCCCTGACGACGAGGCTGATTGACAAGGTTGAATCGGGGGAGCTCTCGAGCTTGGAGCCAAAGTACGTCGAGAGTTACCTCAAAAGGTACCTCAAGAAGGCGGTCATTGGGGCAAGTGGCAGGGTCTACCGTCCTGCTGGTATCCCGTCGCTGGGGGTGGAGGTTGTTAGCACCCTTGTGCGGGCGCCGGACACGGAGGACGAGTTGCCCAAGTGGGGGAGTCCAGAGAAGCACTTTGTACTGACTGAGAGGGGTGGTTGAGAGTGGTGGTGGTGATGGTAATGGGAGTGGATTGTGTGTGTGTGTGTGTGAAGCTTGAATTGGTCCGCCTGTTGGGTGGCATGGAGTCGGGGATTTTGCCCTCCTTTTTTCTTCTGTGTTTTTGAGAGGCTAAAAACAGAGGGTCTTTCTTGGTTGGGTTGTGGGAGATGTCTTGTTCATCGCCGGGGTTTAACTGGACCTGTGTGGGAGGTCGAGATAGCGGTAAAATGTATTTGCTAGAGCGAGGTGGGAGGGCGTGTTAATGTAATTCTGTGACTCTTGAAGGTATTTTTCCTGCCTTGCTAGGTATTGTCCCAGTCCCGACTCTACGTCAGATGTCACCATCCAAGTCCTCCTACCAACCTTGCCTTTTGTCACCGAACGCCAGGGAAGACGTCAACTCCCATATCGAGATGGACTCGGTACTTCCTCTCCCATACCAAGTATTTTCCCCCTTCCCCATGCAAGCCCACCTCCCCCGGCGGAGCCAGTCGACCAAAAAATAAGGACAACAACGTCCATCCAAATGCTTAAACCAGTCAAGGGCAAAAAATAATCCATGCGAGATGGGATGTGTACTTTGCAACTTACCCGGATCGAACGGGTGACCTTCAGATTGCAATCACGGAACCGTGATGCTGAACTTGAAGTGTACTTCAGTCTGACGCTCTCCCAACTGAGCTAAAGTTGCTGTGATGGTATTTGATGATGTCCTTCCCCGCCGGTATTGCAGTCCGTGAGGACCGGCGGGTGGTGATGGGGTGTGAAAAGGACTGCCCACCGCCCGAGTCCAGACCGGGGGAGGGGGAATGGACAGTGAAGAGGAGCAAAAATATATCGCGCTGGTAATGCAACTTACCCGGATCGAACGGGTGACCTTCAGATATCACAGGTGTGATGGTTGGAGCCGAAGTGAAACTTCAGTCTGACGCTCTCCCAACTGAGCTAAAGTTGCTGGGTTGTTTGGTTGATGGAGGTTGGTGGGGATTAGGGTTGCTCTTGTATGCGGCTGTTTTGAGGTGGGTCTGATGGGGTCGTGCGTGCAGGGCGAGTCAGTTGAGTGATAATGAGGGTTAGGTTGACGGCGGGTTGACAATTGGGATGGGGAGCCACCCAGCAGGCTGGTATGTGATGGGAACTTGTGTGGAGTGTCGAGTAGGTTTTGCAAGAAGCTGGGGAAAATGTAGGTCTAGAGGCTAGGGCAAGGTTAAGACTACGAGGTGTCGTGCCCGGTCTTTCTGGACTATACTTAGGCTTACCCCGATCATGACGACACTAGGTACGGCATCCCTCTACGCAACTCTACACACATCTCCGGCGCAAGTGCGATAGGACATAAGATAACTCGCCGTCACGCGCCCCGGGTCGTGGACTCGTGGTACAACCAGCTCGAGACCACTTCCCTGCGTTGAGCGACGACAGCGTGACGGCATGCCAGCCCCGGGTCATCGAGAGGAAGCAGCTAGGTCACTCTCGAAAAGCCACCTGACTTGATAAACATACACTCCAGCGCGAGACCTCTTGCCAAGGGAGCGATACCTGAATAACAAAACCAGACGCCTCCAGTTTTACCTCTATGACCTAGTCGGTAGAGAAACAGGTGTCCGACTCTAAATTCGGGGCCTGGTCAGACAAACCAAGGTATCCAGCTCCAACTTCAGGGCCTCTACTAAACCGTGTATAGCCTTGGCCGTTGTCTCGAATGTCTCGCGCTAGCAGATAAACCGGGGCTGGAGTGTTTACCTCTGGTGTCTATCGACGAATATCCGTCTCTCAGAGACCAGCACACCCTCCACCGCCATCCACCTTTGGCGTTTGGGCACAGAGATGCACAACCCCCTCCCTCTCTTAAACTTTCCTCTCTGAGCCTTTCCAAAGGCACGGGATACAGCAAGCACAGTGTACCGAGCTGATCGCACATGCTTCTTCGGACGAGCTCGGAGTTCTCACTGTGCAGGGTTGGGTTGAGCCAGAAACGACACAAGCAAGAACTTTCTGCGTTGTAAGTGCGTTGTAAGTGCTTAAAACCTGTGAGGGGACGGGGTGGTGCGAGAATTACTGATCTTGGTACTCCGTAGTTAGTTGGGAGCGGTAGTTGGGAGCTGGAGGATATAACTGTCGTCGGGACTGAATTCTCTGACGCTCGGGAGAGTCGCACGGCGACGGCGCCGGCTCGGCCACACACATGCAGTTTCGCAAGATCGCTTTAATCCGAATCTTCATCGGCAACGGTGATGCCAGACGATGACAAGAGTTGTCGGCGGGGATAATCGGCGAGGAGGCTTTTTGTGCGCTGCCCCTCCAAACCCAGCACTGACCGCCGTCCTTGTCGCCGTCGTTCTGTTGACGAAACAACAACTGCCGCGAGACCCAGCCATCGAGTCCATCTCTCCGTCAAGATCGAGGCCGCATTGCATTGCCAGCGCGTTGTTTGCCTCCCGCTCCCGCCTGTCACGGACGCTTGCTGGTGCCCAAACCCTGCTGCCGGGCCCGATCAGCATGCAGGTTTGCCCCCCAGAATCGTGGCCTAACGGACGTGCGTGAAGGGCGACGAGAAGCCTTCCCAAACAAGTATCGCACGCATGAAATGCTCGACGACGAGAGAGAAATCCAGATGGCCTGGCCTGCTTCGATCCGTCGTTCGAGGTCCCGAGGCCCAGGATCGGAGTCGGCGCCGTTGCTTGGCGCTCCTCGGTGATTGGGACGCTGGGCTCAGGGCTGGCGCAGCGAGGGCCTGTCGCTCACCCCCCCCCCCAACGTGGTTAGGAGCTCCCACGGTGAGAGAAGGCGTCGGCGGTGGGCTCTTGCACTGTGACACGGCAGAAGATGCCTCGTAGGCCCATCTTTCGAATGGCGGTCGCAGAGACGCCGCTGGACTGGACTGCTGTTTGACTCTCTTCGCAGCCTCGTGTATAGGGTTTCCGAGTGCTCCCCAGCTCCGAGAGATCGTCAGTCAGACATTCCATCTAAGCATCCTCAACCGTCGCTTTTTTTCGCCGACCGACGGCGGTATATTGAACTCCGGCACGGCCGAGCCCGCCCACACCATGAGCGGACAAATCAACCCTGCGGTGTCGTGCGTCGAATGCCAGAGACGCAAGCAAAGGGTAGGCAGGGCCCGAGCGGAACAGCTGTTGATGTTGCGAACCGAATGTCTAACACCGAGACCCAGTGCAACCGCCAGTTTCCCTGTAACCATTGTACCAAGCGGGGCGTCGCCCACCTATGTCGATTCATACCCAAGCCGACGACGACGAGGGGGAACAAGAGCGATTCCAGCATAGTCGATGACTCTTCAAGGCAGGTTTCGTGGTTGTGGCGGTGTGTCTTGTCGATTCTCGTCCTGACTTGTCGGGCTCCAGGGATTCCAAGAACTTGAAGCGGGCTTTGGAGAGCTCCGAGGGCGACCCTGACGATGGGCTCGCGTACCCGGACAACGAGTCCTCTTCCTTTGACGCGAGCAATGCCCTGAATGCGTTGGGCTACATGCCGCATACACACCACCTGGTGTTGGGTCGAGGGAACGGCCCAAAGGTAGGCGACTAAGTCCTCGGAACTGTCAGGGCAGATGCTAACCGTGTCTCCCCTAGGTCGATATCGACACACTCGTCGACGACGACAAGGAGTCCTCCGAAGAGCTCAAGGCGGCTCTCAGCCTGGTACCACCGAAGCGATACACAGGTGACGCCCCCGAAACCAGATGACGGAAAAGTACTCATCGCCGTGTAGATATACTCGTCGACAACTGGCTGAATGGAGCCAACTACCACTATTGTGCCCTCTACCCGCCCGAGTTCCGGGCACAATATCATGGCTATTGGGCCCAACAGACCAAGAACCAGACGCCGGAGCTGATCAGTCTGATCCTACGAGTCTGCGCCTCTTCGTTGCTCTTCATCATCGACCAAACCGTCAAGGAGCGGCTCGAGTCAGAGATTGGGACCGACTGCCTGACCTATGCCATGCGCCTGCACAAGGGAGCCGAGAAACTCAGCACCAAGATCCCACACGGAAAGGGCGGCCTTGTCCATGTACAGCAGCTATTCCTCACGGCCTTTTGGTACAAGTCGGCCGAGAAATGGACCGAGGCATGGCACGCCCTGAGTGCGGCTATTCGAGCTGCGTATGAGATTGGTACTGTCCCCGGCCCGGCCCAGCATCGAGTTCGTGCGCTGACTGCTGCAGGTCTTCACCAAGACTCGTCGTCCGAGGGAATGTCGGAGTTCGACCGAGAGATGAGGAGGCGCCTCTGGAGCATCTTGTACTTGTGGGACTTGTAGGTGGCACCCTCCCCCTTTTTGCTCCTCCGCTGACCACTTCCAGTGCTTTGGGCTCCATGCTCAAGAGACCGGCCCTCATCGACCGTGGCGAGTGCAGCGTCGAGATGCCAACCATGGCGCTGGAGATTGACCCTGGCCAGTCCTACCAGCCCTCGCCGTTCCGCCACATGAAGCTTCATTGCCAGATGTGCATCGACCTGGCCAAGGAGATCACTGCCGTGCCGGCGGACAGGATGGCCACGGAACTGGCGCCGCGGCTCCGGGGCGTGGTGGAGAGATGGTTCAAAAACCTGCCTGCCGAGTATGCTGTCGAGAATCCAGAAACCCGCTGGGACGACGAGTATGACTGGGTCGTGTTCCAGCGTAGGTACCTCCACCTGGTTGGGTACATGTCCCTCTTTGGCCCCCTAAAGCCATATCTCACACGGAACTCGGCCGAGCCCATGACGGAGTCTGAGAGAGAGCTTCGAGAAGCAGGTGTCGGAGCAGCCCTGGCGTTGATGGACGTGTCGTGGAGTTTCTTTGAGAACTTGGTCTCGGTCGGCGCGAGCTTCCACTATGCCGTGTTTTGCATTTTCGACACGGCGACGGCGCTCTGCTCGGCGTTTGTACACGACGAGGCTCGAAACTTGCCCCAGAGAGAGGTCGGGCTCGAGGCGATCAAGAAGGGGATGAGGATGCTCGAAAAGCTGCATGCCGTCTCCAAGACGACGTCGGATCTGTGTCGGATCCTGAATGGTCTTCTCCGAGACTTGCCGCTCAGCTCCAGGGAGCTGAACCTGATCGGTATCAAGAAACGCGTCAAGAGAGTATCTGCGACTAAAGCGGCGGTCGGGAAGAAAGCAGCTCAGGTCGACCAGCGACTGTCGTCCGAGGCACGGGGCGGCCCTTGGTATAGCCCAGTGTCGGGGAGCGATGCTTCGTTCAGTGCGGACTCGGAGGAGCCTGACGAGAGCCACATCGGCCAGAACCCCATGAACCGCCAACATCGGGATCCGTCTTTGAAGCTTGAAGTCATCGACCCACCAGCCGCGGCGCTGTCTGAAGCTGGACCGCCGTCTGTGCCGAGTCCCGCATCGGCGCCCGAGTTCGCACAGCCGGGTCAACCACAGCTGGACGAGCCCACGTCGGAGAATGGAGGAACGGCAATTTCAGGTATCCCGTCGCCACAGGTCCAGTCCGATTCTTATGGGCTGCCAGACGACCAGGCAGGCTTGCACGACTTCCAGTACGTGGGCTTGCCTTCAGGGGGCTTCGACGTCAGCGGTGCCCCGACTAGCCAGGGAGGGTGGGTGGTCCTCGAGGCTCCGAGCCATGGCGACGGGTACCTGGAGCCCAACCTCGTGGCCTTTGATCCAAATATGCCGACGGTCCTGGAGTATTGGGATTGGCAGGGTCTCGACCTCGGTCATCCTGGATATTGGGGAGCACCGCCACCGCTGTAGTTGTTGAGCCGGGAAGGGGAACCTAAGGGCGGCCTTGTTATGAATCTCCTCTCGCTTGGATTTAGTCCGTACACGAGAATCGTCTGTGTTTTGTCTCTTTTCTTGCTGGGACTCTGGGCAGTGTCGTCTGGTGTAAGCGTGATGGTAGCCGCAGAGATTGGAAGTTGGTGAGCGGCTCTGAAGTGTATTTTATCTCAACAAAAAAGGTCGAATGAGAAGCTGATGTTATG